AGGGCCGAGGAGCGAGCTAAGAAGGCCGAGGTCGATAGGGACCACGCTCAACGCGAGCTGGGCTCCCTTAGACATCAGGTTGCCGAGGCTGACAAAAACCTCTCTGCTGCAGAGGAGGCGCTGACCAACCTGAGGGCATCCCATGTGCGCTTTGTCAGCATTGCTCGAGCCCAGGGAGCGGAATGGCTGGTCGGCTCGCCCGCGTTCCAAGACGCAGTGGCGGTGGCGTCTGCTAACATGACCACGGAGATCTACAACGAGATCCGTGGTAAGGTGCTGTACCACCGCCCTGACTTCCCCATCCGCGAGCTGGCGTTCTTCGATGGGGAAGATATCGACGAGCAGGGTAAGAGCCTTGCTCCCCTGGCCGACACAACGGTGCGGTTGAGATGGGATCTCAACGAGGAGGAGGTTCCCGTCTGGCCTCCCTCTGTTGTAGAAGAGGGGGAGGACCCTGCAGGGCTGTTGATTTCAGTGTCGCCGGGAATACTTTACACATCATAGCATCATTGGCGTTTTGAATCCTCATGATGGCTTGATAGGTGTGTAGATGTTCATCCGGGTCTTTCGTGCCATCATATGTCTCTAGGTGGGGAATTTTGAATCCCTCTTGATATGGTTCTGCCGTGATGGATAGGTTCAACGGAGCACTATCCAAATCCAAGGTCTGTTGGTGCGACCTCGGGCTTTTCAGCTCGTCAATAGATTTCTGTACATCCCGCAGTTGCCTTTCGAGGTCTGCGTTCTTTCTCATCAATTCTTCACTATATTTGGACGAGCTGGGCTCAATATTCAATTTCCCACTTCCCCTAGGCCTAGTCGGCACTACTATGTTGCTTAGAGCAGGGGAGTTCCTAGTTGCCACAACCGCAGCTGGTTGCGCATCCCTGTTCAGCAAAGGAATCAGGGGGTCATCTGGGATCAGGCGGGCAAGGATTTTACCCATTGCCATTTCGAGAACTTTAGTTCTCTCCTCGAGCTCGGTTGTCCGAGCAGGTTCTGTTGACCTTTCAGGTCGTTCATGCTGCGAATTGTGTGGTCTAGAAGGTCTTCGTCTTGTCCCTGTTGGAACTTGGAACTGTTCAGGCTGGGTTGCATACCCAGTCGGTGTTCTTTCATCATCTGTCTCACTCAGGTGATCCTGTTCGGCTCCCCCTACAAAAAGATTCCTAGGCATTGGCCTAACGTCATTCAACCCAGGCTCAGATACTTGTATGTCCTCCTGTTCGTCCACTTCATTTCTTGGAGGGCGATCTCCTGTAAAGGTACGAACCATTTTGTCTCTCAGCAGGTTAAGTCACACGACTCCTTGTTCGGTTTCCCACAGACGGCGCCAATGTTTCGGCAGCTTCGCAATCCAACACTGTTGAAGTCCTCAGCTGCTTCTACACCTGAAAATCCCGAGGTTGTTTCCTCGGGGAAAACACTCCAACGCTCAAGTCAGCAATACTCAATACTTTAGAGAGAGAGAC